AAAAAGGCAAGTGGATTAATTCTCCAGTTTGGGGATGCCCTTGGGATGATGGACCATCCCAGCTGTACTCTGTGTTCCCAGGAATACCACCACCGTGGTAGAGGATGCTACCAGTGACGTAGAGAGACGTTACATTTTCTCTACACTCTGAGTGTAAAGCTCTTAAATTAGGTCTGCTATGGCTTTGTGCTTCCATGAAAATTGCCCAGAGGGAATGCAGAGAAGTGCAGACAACTGGATGAATTTTGCCATGCACGGGGCTGTAAGCTATGATAGTACTGGATGCTGGGTAGGCTGATAGGTTGCTAAGTGTCTGGGAAATTGGAGGCTTGGGAGCTCCACAAGATGGTCACATTCCCCAGGTACATGAAAGTCCTCAGATCCAAGGGCATGTGTAGATGAAATGAGGGCCCTAAACTGAAGCGGTGGGTTTTAAAAAACACCGCATCAATTTAGGGCTGATTAAACCCCTGTGTTGTACACACAGCTTGCTGACTTACCTGCCTCTACAGCAGGGAGGGGAGGGTAAGCTGCTGGCAGGTGGAGCAGTCCCTGGGCTGCAGGAGGGGCTGGTGCTTCCCTTCATGGCAGTGGCAGCACCTGCCCACAGGCACCCAACTCGGGCGGTCCTGGGGGTCACTGTAGCCAGAGAGGGAAACACCAGGCCCCTGCACAGATCAGACAGGCAGGAAAAAAAAAGACAACCAGGATCGCTGCTTTTTTTGGGCAGATCCTGCTTTCCCGCGCTCCTACCAGGCTTTTTGCAGGACTTCCTGCAGAGCTGCAGAGCTTCACGGATCCTGGTGCTTTGCTCAGCGGCTGTAGGGGCAGCAAACTAAAACTCTGCTATGCCCCAAGTCATTTAAGGCACATTATGCCACCAAATTTCCTACAGCCGCTGGAATTAATGTGCTATACACTGCCAAGGTGTGCAAACACCAACACCATTAAAGCGGTGCAAATGCATTTAGCCCGCTTTAAAGTGTTGTGCACACATACCTCAAAACTCCAATTCAGTCTGTCTGGAGGGCTGTCTAGGAGCTAGAAGAGACTCTGGAAGCTTGGGTGTCCTACTAACCCATCAGACAGCCTGCAGAAGAATCAGAAGGACAGGCTGGCAGGAAAATTGGGCAGCTTTCCATGGGTCCCCTTGGAAATTCAACAAAATGGAAATATTTGTGAATGTTTTAATTTTCATTAATTATCCAATTCTGACCAAAAATGGATATTTTTTTTTACTAGATAACACTGGAAGATGACATTCTAAGAGCTTCAATTAAGATCTTCAAATTAGTGGATAGCTAAAACTTAATTTCTTTGGACCTAAGTTCCCCATCTTCAAAAGAGGAATAAACCACCCCCTTTTCTCCTAAGGATATTGTGAAGATTGCTTAATTAACATTTGTGAAATGCTCAGATACTAATGTGATGAGCTCTGTAGGAAAGCCCAAAGGGAAATTTATCATTTTTCCTTCAAAGTAGGATTTGAATAGTGTGCAGTAAATAAAGCTGGGGGCTATACAATTAATAACAAGGATAAAATAAAATATTGAACAGTGGTTCATTAATTAAGCATCATCTATCCGGTGTGCTGAATGACAAAGGCTTTCAGTGGAAAATAAAAGTTTGCCATCATAACTGCATACACTACTTGACCAAACTAGGGTTTCACAGGCTATTTTAATATTGGCATTTCCTAATCTCAGTGTGCTTCACTTTCTAACCATAATAATGTTCTTGTAATGGAGAGAGAGAGAGAGAGAGAGAGAGAGAGTGTATATGCAGTTGCATGTGCATATGCGTGTGTGTAATCAAATACACGCAGTCTTGTTATAATTTTATGAATGACTATTTCTTTCCCTATTTTTTGTCACTCAGATATTCAATAAATTCAACTATATATGTATTTCCAACCCAAGAAAATATTTAACAGGTGGAATATATAATGGAACTATCTCTACTGACATGAGGGTGAGCACAGACCTACACCAATAGTACCTACATTTGGTGGGCTCAGAGGCATCCGTCTTCCACTGCCAGTTCCAGTGATGCCGGCTATTTCTGATACTCTAAAGCAATTCGGTTGAAAGAACCAAGATAAACTAGCACTTGGTGGTCACAACTGTAAATAAATCTTCCAATATTAATGGATATAAAAGAACATTTAATTAATGGGGCACTAAAACATATAAATATATCATTGTTTCCAGCATGGTGAGGGGAGGGATTTCAAACCTGTTCTCATTCTTTCGGCACTGAAAGAGTTAACAGAGCTTTAACTGTGTTGCAATAATCAAAAGCCATGATCTTGGACAAGCTCACGAGTCATGATTTCAGTTCCCAATGACAGCTGTATAAACTTAGTTGATGACTATGGAGTACGTACTATAATAGACAGCTACAAATGACTACAGCACAAGAGTGTATCATGATTACTGCACAAGTGACTGATCAAAAAGCATTAACATTTTCAAATAACCATGCACATAAAACGAATTTGTCTTTCAGATGTAATAAGAGTGATAGAGAGTGCAAAACAGCTACTCTAATCTGGGTCACAACTACTTCTACTGGAATTAATCTAGATTTATGCTGCTGTACCTGAAAACAGATGGTAATTCCCAGATCTTGGGGGAGGGGATTTTAGTACATTTGAAGACTACAAACAAAAACAGCATTAGCCACATTATCACTAAATTATGTGAAGCATTGGTAATATGGCCAAATATTCTTTGCACTTTCATGATAAACTTTCAAAACAACATAAACAAGTCATCTGGTGATAACACTAAGACTGAAAAAATATATTTTCGGCAAGTTCTGATCAATGGGAAGATTTTGTTCAGTATGTTGTACTGCTGACATACCCTGCTAGAAGGCTATTTTTTCTGTGACTGGAAATGCTTTAGGAAACAGAAATGAAAGCATACTCCTGTACCCTTCCAAAGGCTATGTTGTTCCTGGATTGCGATGGAATTACTTCTGATTTGTGACAATAAAACTGAATTTAAAACAGGGCCAGAAAGTTCTGATTAAAATGTGACTGTTCAGATGATGGAGGAAAAAGCAGAGATAAGTATGTTATTGACCTGTTCATCCCATTAACTTCCTTAAGATTTAAAAATGCACCATAGTAAATAGGAGAATCCAGTTGCTGGGTTGAACATTATCTACTAGACATAAATTCAAGGTTTGCTATACCATTGAAAACATCAGTGGGCAGTGAGTCAGGCACTCTTCTAGATCTCTACAGCTCCCAAAGCAGTTCACAGCAAGAAAGACCAGAAGATTAATTTTCAATCATTAATTACCTCTCTTCATTCCTGGACTACCTCATAGTATGAAGAACAACAGACTGCTGTATCCTACTCATTTGTCCTAGCTTACCACTTAAGCCATTCAACTAAGAAAATGCATAATGCAGCCATAATTATGAAAGATCAAGAAGAAGGCAAAATAAATGTGGGGGAAATTTGTAAACAGATTTAGGGTCTGTCTCTTCAACATTTATCACATTAAGTAGTACCTTATTCCATGGAATAAGACACTACTCAATTTAAGTATGGAGGGCAGAATAAAGACAGTACCATACACATATGGAGAACTTTATTGTCTCTGAGCAATCCCTTCTTTTAAAATGTAAATTGACTTAAAAAGAAAATAGGAATTTTTAGAAAATAGAAACGTTTTTCTTATTTACTGCATGGAAGATATTATTGGCACAGAAATTACAAAACATCTAAAAACAAACAAGCAAAGTAATGAATGTCGGTTGTACTCTATGTTGTTATTCAACAGAGCATAGTGAAATTGCCTTTTGGAAATTAATTGCCCAGTCAATTAGCCCACTTTTTTGTTAGCAAAATATTTGTGAATTGATCTTGATTTCTTCAAATGTACTGTTTAGTCACAAATATTTATTACAAAGTTTATGTAATCTAATTACTGCTCGTGGCACATTTGGTATCTGCTCACTTTGATTAATTAATACATATTTGTGGCCTTATTTTTGCTCTGAATAACTGATTTTCTTTTTTAAATGAAGGAATAAAAATGATGAATAATGAATAAAGAGAAAGAAATAGTAAATACATTTGTCCATATACAAACATTGCTTGCAGATAAATATAGGTACTGCTGGCATCTGAAAAAACAGTTCCCTTCCAAGTAGTTTGTAGGAAGAAAAACTCACATACCTGAATATTTCTGAATAGTAATAATAACTGAAATAACTTTTTGAATTCTAACTCACATCTGTAACTACTTTTTTTACCTCCTACAACTGCATAATGTATATGTGGTTAGACATGGGTAAGTGACAGTAGAAAATGTATTTTTCATGCCATTAGACAGAACTACCATGTTTGTGGCAATCCTTGAAGCAATTCATTATGATGTAATGTCCAAATCTATCTATAGTTACAAAATTATCATGGACATCCAAAGGAGTTAGACTGTGTTACTGAGGCAGAAATAGATCCATGATAACTTTGAATTTCCCTTAATAAATATGCTTTGATCTACATGTGGACAAGTGCTGATGGGATGTTTTACCCAATCTGGAGAGACACCTCTGTACACCAGAGATGACAGAAGAGGACCACAACACAGTCCAAAAGTGCCAGTAGGAGAATTCCCCTTGTGTGGGGTGACTGCTTCCTGGTATGTATATGCTGCAGCTGGACCCTAGCCCTCTACCCTTACATCCAGCATAGATGATGCCCTGGAGCAGATAAGGGAATATCAGAACTCTGTTACTGATGGCAATTCACCACTAATGCAGAAGCGATTTCACCAATGGTCAGTATTTGAACAGTTTAACTTTTGCTTTAAGTCTCATCAGAAGTGAGGCTGCAATCAAAAATCAAGGATTCTCCCTGCCTCATGTCACCCTTGCACCAAGATGTCCCCTGGAGTAAAAGAGAATCTATATCAGAAACAGTTTAACTTAACTGTCCAACCTCACTTGTTTCCAGTATTCAATGACTGATTTCTCTTACCTTCCATCAGCTTCCCTGTCTGCTCTGCACTGCCCCCAGGGAGGATCTTAGCAATGTAAGCTCCAATTTCTCCACTGTTTCCTGGGATTTCTTTCCCACCTACAACTCGGATTCCCAGTCCATTGCCTGCAATCAAAAGAAACAAGCAACTTGGTATGAACAGAGGTAGAAATACCAGCAATTTGACTGGAGAGGAAAGAGGAGAAAAACATATAACAAGCTAAATAAGGTAAAGCAAGCATTGACAACAACTTCTTGAATGAAGTATTGAGATTTATTTTACTACATCAAGCTGGCTGCCTTTACTGGCCGAGAATTTCTCTGATGAAAAGGACAGGAAGCCTGATGAGTTAACAAGAGAAGAAGCTTCCCTGTCCCATGGACCTTGGGCATCCACAGAGAAAAATATCTCTAGCTCTTCCAAAAAAGGACCTTCTGCTTGAATAGCTCCTTTCCGAGCTGATCCCTTTCCCAGGACTTAAGACTCTAGTTTCAGTCCCTTTTGATCTTGATAAAAAACATTACAGCATTATGGAAAAGTTCCATTTATAAAATAGCTGTATCACTAAAACCACACATGAAAACACCTAGAAACTTAAGAAAATACCCTAAGGCTACCCTCCTTTCTTCTAATGCCCACACTTTTCTGCAAAATGTTGACTAATGTGGCAATTTAATTAATACAGGAATTTAGTACATGAGCTCAAAGCATAATCTGGCTATGGGGCCAGCACCTAGTTTTATTATGTATCTAAAGAATATAAACAATATAGTTGAAAATGTAATAGCAGAGCTTTTAGGAAACTGTAGAGAAGGAGAGAGCAGGAGAACTCTGAGCCGTTAACAGGACAGCGTGTTTATTTCAATCAGAGTGTAACTGGAAAGTAGGATTATACTTTTCTTATGTTTTTTGCTTTTAATGGACATTTTTACATCAAAGGATATAAGAAATCTACAATTATAGTGTGCAGATTCAAAGTTTCATCTGCCTGAAAATGTTCCTTCTTACAAGTTATGGAGCTGAAAACATGGGATTAGATTTTGCTTATTTTCTGTAAGAAGCAAGCAGAGCCAAGGTACCTGTAATCACAGAAAATTGGTAATATTCTTAACAGTGAAAATGAAAAGGTTAAGAAATGTTATGTCCTACACAATTAAACTGATGTGCAATCTTTGTATTTTAAAATAGCTTCCGCGTGATAATCACATTTCCCTTTGAAGAAAAAAAAATCACAAATGAGATGATTCAGTTTTATCTAGGAGCATAATAGCTGATTTTTCCAGCCTTGTTAAAACTGCTAAAATCATTAACTTTCAATTTATGAATTAATAACCCAGCCCCTGCAGAGCGATTAGAGCCATCAGCTATAGAAAACCCATTGCTCATTGTCTCCATCAAGCTGTAGCTTTTCATATGCACGTGATTCCTGAGTATGCTATTAGGGATCTGTGCAGTCAGGCTTTGTTGGACAGGCAACTGAAATAGCCAATGAGCCAACTGGAGTTTCTAGATCCATCATCTTGGCAGTGAGTCAGCCCTAAAGCACTCACGTTTCCTCCCACCCCCATGATACATACTATAACTACCACCATTACATAGCACATTTTCTCACATATCAAATGCCCCAAAACTAAGTACTTTGTTTTTGGGAAAGTAAAATTAGAAAAGAAGATGTTTCCCAGTTATGCCTGTATAGAGCAGGGACAGAGCCTAATCTTCAGCTCATGCACCCTCCCTTTCCTGCTCAAACAAAGACGGTAGCACTAGCTGGGGCTGAAGACATGTCTCCATGAATAGATCTATAAATTTGAAAGGAGTTAATAACAATCTGTGTGGCTGTGGATTAGGAGGGAAGAGACCAGGAGTAGCTAGCGAACAGCAAAATTGCCAGAAGAAAGCTCAGATTGATTAGGGGAATATTAAAAAGGAGGTTGCTAGCATCTGTGGAGTAAAGAACAATGAGCCATTAAGTCAACTGACTCCCTCAGCTGCCTGAATAGAAATGCCACTGCTGCTCCCCAGCAGAGCAGGAATACAAGGAGGGTGCTTCTATTCCAGGAAGAAAATCAGCTTTCCCACTTAAGGCATGTACCCCATTTTGGGGGACTAATCTTGTGGGGGGAAATTTATGGTATATGCAAATAAATATAGTACATAGGCTTTGCCATTTATGTTGTAAAGATATTCTACTGCTATCACATTATTCTTTCTGGACTGGCCTTCTGATTTAGCTCTGACTACCTTTATGGTAGGGAAAAAATTGTCACTGGGTTTTTTCATCCCAGCTTGGCATCACTGTAAGTCTTGTGTGTATTCATTAGTTACTAATATGTTTCTGATTGTTTATGCCCTAACAGATTGCTTTTACCAATGAACCATGATTCAGGAAAGCAGCCTGTTCAAGAGGCCTACACAGTCGATACATATATGCAATGCATGTTGTGCATATGCAGCATGTGGGTTAGATTCATTGGCATCAGAAGCATAATATCTTTTCTTTCTCTTTAGGTTATGCTGAAGGGCTAACAGCTACATGAAAGATCAAAACCAAACTATTTAGCATTGGCACCTCAACAGCATTTCTAGAATCAGTTGAATGGTGTGTCCAAGTTCCACAATGATGCAAGATGGAGCATCCCATGGGATTGCAGGGTGGGGTCCCCAGTGTGCTCTGCAGCAGATCTGGAAGTGGACCAGAAGCACTTCTGGTCCACTTCTGGGTCTGCTGGGGAGCATGTGGGAGGGTCCACCCCCACCCCCAGCTTGTGAGTGGTGCCTCTTGGGTTGTGGGGGGGTGCCCAGGGGCACCCCATGGCCAATTGTGTACTTCTGGTCTACTTCTGGGTTCACTGCAGAGCATGCACGGGCCCCAACTCTCATTCCTGTGGGACGTTCCATCCACCCCACCATTGCAGCATTCATGAGCCATGCCTGGTACCTTAAGCTATGTAGAAAAAAACCTTTAAAGCTGTGTCTATGTCCAAATTACTGATTCTCTAAATCAGCATCGAATCTTCAGATTTGGATTCAGCCTAATTGAATCAGGGACAGTGATCCGAATCAACGAATCAAATCAGTGTCCCTGAGTCATGCCAAATCCAAATCTGAATTGAATAGGGCTCGTTTCACACACCCCTAGTGAGTAGTTAGAATGTCAGGGTCAAAACTTCAGAGATTTCAGAAAATTCCTGGCCAGTTGTTACTGCATGCCAGGGGTTTGTCTTTTCGCAGCTTGATGCCCAGCAAAATGCTTTTATTTTCTAAAGTTTTAGAATCATAGACTCATCAGTTAGCAGAGAAGGTCATCTGTCTAACACCACACATATGACTTCCGAATGTGCTGTTCTCACCCTATCCCAGAAAAATGGTTTTCTAGCCTCATCTTAAAAACCTCCACTGAAGAAGATTCTACAACCTCCCTGGGCAGCTTGTTCTATTATCCCGCTGTTAGAAGAGGAAGTTTTATTTTTTTCTTGAAATCTAATCTTAACTTGATTTGCTGCAGTTTACATCAAATGTTTAGTGCCCTGTGCAAGGGAGAAGTAGTGCCTGTGGTCTCCCTTTTCTTTATGGAAACCTTCCAAATATTTTAAAACTATAATCTTTTTTTTTTCCAAATTAAATGCAACTACTAGTCTCAACCTTCCCTAGTACTACTTGAATTCTAGCACCTTTATCACCTTTGTTGTTCACCTCTGGATTCTCTGCAACTTCTCCACATCCTTTCTAAAATCTGAAGCCCAGTACTGGATACACTCTGCCATCTGAGGCCTAATTAGCAGTGAGCAGTAAGCTACTATCACCTCCTCCGTCTTTCATATGATACCCCTGTTAATACACGCCATATGACATTTGCTCTTTTGGCAACTGGCTCACACTGTTGACTCATGCTGAATCTGTGGTGTACTAAAACTCTCAGCTCCTTCTCAGTAGTGCCTAGTCAGTTAACTTCCATTCTGAATTTGTGCATTTGGTTTTTTTTACCTAGATGTAGCACCTCACATTTGTCCTGTAGAAATTTCTTCTATTGTTCAATGCCTAGCTCTCCTATTTGTCAAAATTTGTTTTTTAATTTTAATTCTTTCTTACACCTCTCTGGCACCCTGTTAGAAACTCCTGCCATTCTGACATAGATCCATTTACAGTTGTTTGCAGTTGCACAGACAAATATGTATCCTCATAACAGTAATTCTATCTAGCCCACACATCTCTAGTGTGGGCTAGAATGTCATGTGGGACTTTATCAATTTTCTTTTGAAGTCCAACTATATTGTGTCCACTGATTTTCCAATATTAGGAGCACTGCATTTCCCTTCTAGTTTTCCAGCTTTGCTGACACTCAGTGAGAGAAAGCCAACAATCTTTTCTCATTTTCCACAATACATTCAGAACTGGGGGGGAACTCAACTGGGAAAGGGCTCTCTAAAATAAATGCATAAAGGATCCATCAAAATCAATATAAAAGAAAATCACCTAAATGCCCAGGCTAATTACAGGCATGGGGATTGTAATTAGTTTCCTATTACAAAACATAGCAATCATGGGACTTAATATTTCTTTAATTATAAAGCCCGCAGAGATGACCATTGACTAGCAATCATATTGCTCTCTGTCTGCCAATGCTCTAAAGGCTATGAATCGACATATTGAAAGAGATGCTGAGCATGAAACAACAGTTAGATCTGGCTCTCTGGTTGTGTCACTCTTGACTCCTGAATTATTGTTTTAAGGTTCTCTGCTAAGGCAGTGAAGAATTATTATTCAGTGCAGTGGAGTCAAATGGAGTATTACACCATAATTTTCCATTAGTTGTGTTATTTCAGTGGAAGTGAAGGGCACTGAGAAGCACTCTGGATTAGGTTGTATTTGTCTTTTTCTTTCTTTCTCTTAGTTAACAATAAATGCCACAAAACCAGTGCTTTATCAGCCTCTAATAGAAATTCAAAATGACAAACTTAAAAAAGAAATGTATATGAATCAACTGTGGCTTACTGTCATGAAAGTATGCCAGCATCCCACAAGTCTGCATCTGTACTGTGTTCTTAGTCTACAAAGCCAAGAGATGGGCTTTGAAGCAGAGCCTGCGGGGTCAACCAAAGTTGAGTTCTTTTAGATCTTGCTAGGT